AGAAATCACTAAACCCCCAACCCATCTGGCCGCATCCGTTGGCAGAAAAGAGGGTCCGCAACAGCATTCTCTCACGTGACACATATCTGCATGCAATCCTTACTTTTTGTGACACCATTTCTTTTTCGCCTTCACGCCTCACATCACACCCATCACCCTGATCCTCCCCGCGGAGCATAACCACGATGCCGGCCAGTATCGGCACACAAAAAAAGGGTAATCTCCAGATGAGCAAGACCAACATACTATCTGCCAGCCACACTGAACGATTTTTGTTTTGCACATTTGCTTTTCCTCATGAGGTGCGGTGAAGCGGTTGCCACGCATTTGGTAATGAGGACGATAGTTGACCCGCAGTGTCTAGGTAAGCGAGAGTGACAGAAAACGCTCGCGAAAGGGAGTGGGACCGAAAGAAACGGTACGTTAGATCCAGCTCAGCGGCGGTTGGGGAACCATAGTTTGCAGTGCGAACGCTACGTTCTGGGATACGAACATGTGAGACTTGGCGGAGACGTGAGAGGGATACGACAGTGGCGTCTGTCTTGCATCTTCATGTACGCATGGAGAAGACGCAAGAAAAACAAGATCACGTCCGAAAGCGTGCGACATGGGAAAACGTTGTTTGATGCATCGGCTTTTTTGGATGGTCTCGTTCCTTAGCTTCATGCTTTCTCCGCACTTTCATCTCAAGCCACCACGCACGTCTTTTCAGCTCCTTTATCCAATCTCCATTTCGTCTACGGCGGCTGCAGCTCGTTCTTTTCGGATGGCATCTTTCTTTGCTCTCCGTGCGGCTGCTCTTGACATGCCCTTGCCACTGCCGATCTTACGGTACGCGTCCAAGGACATGCCTATGCGCTCCGCGGCTGCCATCTGGGCTTGTAGTGTCTTGTCTTCCGATATGTCCATCTTGGGGTTAGCCACTTTTCTTTCTTTGCGTGCTTGCATCCTGGCGAGATTCTGGCGGGTGCGTTTGTCTAGGTAGGGTTTAGTATGACGGTGAAATGAACGTTTGAGGGTCCGTTGGAGAACGCACTCATCTTCTTGCCCATAGGGTCGGAATCAATGGCCATAGTTTGGTCGCCGTTGGCTTGCTGGACCGGGCCTGCATCTTGTTAGACTCGCTCACCCCGGTCGCACGTGCCAAAAGCAAGTGCGCGTAGGATCAATAGACGTTAGATCGTCATGTCCAACACGTGACATACCACTCTGCAGGTCGGCTTGGGGCGTCGAGAAGGCGTCGCCCAAGACGTCGACTAACTCATCAGCCAATGCGCCCATCTTGCGTCGGTCCTTTTGCTTTTTCTTCTTCGACTTGGTCGCAGGCGCCTGGCCGTTTGCTCGCCTCGGGGAAGCGCCTCGCTGGCTCGTCTGTGATTGGTCGCTGTCGCTTGCATCTGAAAATTGTTCCTCGTCGCCCAACCTGAATCCTGTGTTTGCGACAACGGGCGCGTTCGCAGCGGCAGCGTCTGCTTCGGGCAAGGTGGGCGCCATGTTGCTTTGTGGACTGCCGAATTGAGGATAATGCAGATGCAAAGGTTGGCTGGACATCAGAAAAGGTAAGAGCAAGGGATCGGCAGAAGGTTTATCCGGCGCATGTGATTTGTCCGTCGGTGTGTATTATCGAGTACCAATGCTGTGTCGCTCCATGCGCTCTATCATCTACCTCATCGTCCGCCTTTTGAGGAGTAAACTGTAAACTGCTATGCACAATGCCGCCCAGAACGCAATTGGAAAGAATGTAGTGACGCGCAGGATTGACGGCCTAAAGTGTGAGGGAATATGGCCCCGCAGCGGGGATGAGAAGAGGAAGGTACAGTTAAGGAAATTCGTGAGTCGTGAATGCATGTCCAAGCACCCGTTCCGGCGGCCGACCAGGCCAGTCCTTTGCGCCCAACTCCAATGCCAAGCCCTGTCTAGCTCTTGATACCAACTCCAGTCCAAGCAAATGTGATGCGACGCTACTCGTCATCGTCAACAAAGAAACCCCAGAAGAGCACTTCCTCGTTCTCCCGGCCCCGCAGACAGCCGCCGTAGACGTCTGCGCACATCTCGATAGGCACCTCGAGCTTGATGCAGCCGTTGCCGAGGAAGGTGAAGAGCAGCCACGAGTCGTATTCGGGGAAGGTGCCGTCGTCGTCGTACTTCCGGCTGCGTATGCCGCGGTTCTGTAACGAGGGCGTGGTGGGCAGGCGGAACGTGTGGTAGGGCAGCGTCTCCTCCGAGTCGGCGACGAAGAAGGCGTCGTTGAGGGCGAGTTCGACGGTGACGTGGGGCGGCGAGGGGGTCTCGGGCAGGCTCAGCGTGTCTTTGTGGAAGCGCAGGGTGCCGAAGCGCAGCTCCGTGGGCTGGCCGAGCAGGTCGAAGAGCTCGGTGGAGTAGAGGCGGAAGTAGCCATTGTGCAGGCTGCCCAGGTCGCTCTCGTCGTCGGCAGCGCGGCCGCTGAGCGAGAGGCTCTGCAGCTGGTCCTCGACGCGCTTGCCCTCGAGTTCGGCAGCGTCGAGCGACCGGCGGATGTACTTGGGGGTGTACTGGTTGCTGAGGTCCGAGATGGCCAGCCGGCAGGCCTCGCGGCGGATCTCGTCGCGCCGGGCGGTGCTCTTGGGCGTGGTCACGTCGTCGGCGGCGGGGTCCTCGAGCGAGCGCAGCAGCCCCGTCTCGAAGCCCTGGACGAGCTCCTCGAACTCGCGCATCACCCGGGCGAGGGGAGACGAGGCGAGCTGGGCGGGTTTGGCGTCGCGGGCGACTGCAGTGCTCTCCAGTACGGCCATTGGAGGCGTGCGCGGCCAGGACGTGGCTGCGGCGCAGGGTGGTGCGTGTTGGTAGGCGGCAGTTGCTGGACGCGGTGGACGCGGCTTTGAGGCTCCTGGGGGCGGAGAGGGGTGTGCAGCTCCGGCTGGCACAGCAGTCGAGGCAATTGCGGTCGGCCGTGTCGTCGTGGGCGTCGGGGGATCGGCCGTTAGTCGTGAGGGCAAGGCGCAAAACAACAACAACAGGACAGTGTCGCAGCAGACGGGCTAGTGCATCAGGAGACAAAGAAGGTCGGGACCTCGAGGGAGGGACCGAAGTTTTGCTCGCGGCTCCAAAGCCGCCAAGAGTGCTGGGTAGATGCTTCCCTCTTCCAGCCCACCGGCTAGCGCGACTGCATCCAATAGGTCAGGCCTGGCCCTCCACGGCGATGCGCTGCGAAGGGGCTTCAGCGTGCGACGGCCCAGCACTGCACGCTGCGAGTGATGCGCTGCCTCCAGCGGTTAACCGTCGCCTATGCCCCATGGCGAGCGCTAACTCTTGCTTCTGCTCAACAGTCGCTGTGCGCGCGCCGCTTGTAGCAGACTGACCCAGCCCAGTCGCTCGCTCGACTTGATGCAACCTGCGAACCGTCTGGTTGGTACCCAATCAGACCAAACTGTCCCGGACCTGTTATAAAGACTGGGGCGGCACTGAACGGCCCGAACATTCGAGACAACCGCTCAGCGCTCACCAGCATGACCGCCCGGCTCATACAGAGAAAAGACTAAACAGATCGTGCAGCCTACTCCGGATTCCATCAAGGGAAGAACATGCAACGTCTCGATCCAACGTCAAAGTAGGCTCTGGGGTAGTCAATTCTCTCATAGCATGCTAGATTGCAGTGAGCCTAGCCTACGACCAGCATAACACGACTACTGTAGGCTTGGCTTCGGCATGCCGATCTCTCACCCCACGCGGCTTCCCTGCCGCTGCCCTCACTCTTACTGTTGATTGTTGATGGTTCCTCATCCGGCCTGGCGCGCCTTCCACAGTCGCATCGCCACTTCCTCGACCACTCCTCGCCCACCCAGCCTCTTCGTCAGCAATCTATCCTCTGACCATCTCGTATTGATGACTGGTCATGGGCGCTCGTCGGCCTGCTTTCCTCGCGCGAACCATCACCATGTCTGCTCTCCTCACACCCCGTAATTGCACCAGGGAGCCCAGTCCACTCACTCGGCTTTACACACGCCTGTCGGCACTTTGTACCTGCCTCGACGTCTTATGCGACCTCAGATGATGTACATGTGCAACCACGCTGCGACCTGGAACCCCCGCAATTCGCCATTTGCCGTCACTACGTCACTGCTGACCGTTCCCAGCGAACCCGTACAGACATACAGCGTAGTCATAGCGGTGAGACATTTGCCTACATCCCGCGCCTGATTACTCCTCCTCGACATACACCTGCTCACCTGCCTGCACATCAATGCTCCATCCTTCGCGGAGCATCGACGCCGATCCAACATCGCCGCTTACCGTCAGATGGGGGCTCCAGACCGAGAAATCAGCCCACCTCCCTGGCTCCAGTCGTTCCTCCCCGCCTCTCCGGGCCTGCCTCGGCTTCTTACGTGATACTCCGGCCTACCAGGGTGCATGCCTAGACCGATGTGTCCGACGACACCAGGCAGGGCTGTCTGTGAGAAGTGCCTGAGGCATGCAGTCTGGCCTCGATCGAATTCTTGAAGTCGACGTTACTTCGACGGATACTACTGTCAGGGAGGTCACATGAAGTACTACATCATTTGCCATGTCACACTCTTTTCCTCTAGGAGAACGGGAAGTCTCAAGCGTCGGCATTGATGTCAAAATTCTCCTTTCACACATCGTTCGTTGGTCCATGATGTTAAATCGAGAACATTGCCGATCTGGTCATTGTTTCGCAGGATATGCAGCACTCTACAAAATACTGGGCTCTCACAAACATCTCTCCCTTTGTCACAGGTAGCTTGTTAGTGTGCGCGGTCCTGGGTCGTGGCCGCCCTCGGGAATCAAGAGGTGATGGCAGCATGTGTTTCGCCCTTTGTCGCTTCCACATTGCTCGCGACTCCAAGTGACGAGGGAGTGGCGGAGGAACTCAGGTGGGCCAGCGAGCAGGAACCAAGGTAAAGCATGCCTACTCACTCACCAACAGCATCGTCCTTCGTTCTGCACACCAACATCATCCACAAAGCTATCGTTAACGAGCCCCTCTTTATCAAAATCTTAATATGAATTCAGTCTACGGTTTCATCAGGTATTCATCTCGCTCACCTGTTCGTCAAACTGCCAGTATGCCTTCCGCCAACGGTTCTGTTGCGCCCACACCGCGTTCACCTCCAGTCGTCTCGTCCCCAACCTTCGCCGACGCGTCAAATTCCTCATCCAATCATAAAGGCAAAGGAAAGGCCCCCATGACCAACGACACGAGCAATGGCACCAGCAACGGCAACAACATTTGCAACAGCAAAATCTACACTGCAAGCCATGACAACAGCAATGACAACAGCAATGACAACAGCAATGACAACAGCAATGACAACAGCAATGACAACAGCAATGACAACAGCAATGGCAGTAGCAACGGCAGTAGCAATGGCAACAGCAAAGGCAAAAGCAATGGCGATAGCAATGACAACAGCAATGACAACAGCAATGACAACAGCAACGGCAGTAGCAACGGCAACGGCAGCAGCAATGACTACACTCCAAGCTACGGCATCGGAAACTTGACGGAATACCTCATCGACGTCAAGACGCTCACCAAGCTCTGCGACCTGGGCGTATCAGAAGCCGCTCAGCTCGGAGCCCTTCTCACCGAGCGCTACAAATCCCTGAACGAAAAGCAAACCCGCCGCATGGCAGCCGCCGAAAAGATCATTGACGAAGTCGAGACCATGAAAGAGGGACATAACGTTTTCGACAATAACGTCGTCAACCACTACGACCGCTTCGTCAAAGAAATGGAGGCAGCTGAGACCGCCATGTACGACGGTATGAAGGTAGCCATGTATACAGATGCCGCGAAGAGCGCAAAGCTTGCCCGAGAGAACTCCGAGTTTGCCAGGAATTTGCACAAAAAGATTGAGGGGTTGAATGCTGAGTACAAGGCTAAGAAGGATGAGATTGTGGCTGCGAGGGATGAGATGATTGATATCCTTTACGGTGCTGTTATGCGGTGCATCCTGGTGGGCTCTGGTGCTGTCGAGAGTGAGAACGATAAGGCGAAGTTGTTGGGTTTGTTCAAGCGCTGAAGACACTGGGTTGGGGTAGATGTTGTTGCTGCGAGGTCCATTTGGTATGGTACCTTGGATATACCCGGACAACTTCGATGTCGTCTAACGTGACGAGTCTATAGTCGGAGAATGCAGTGTATTCCTCAGATGCTCAATTCTTGTTTATTGTGGCGCTTCGCTCGAGGCGATCAAACCGCTGCCCTTGTAGATTATGCCGAGGTGTGCAACTGAACCGAAGTCGTTTAGTTATCTACCAGCTCAGTTTTTGCAAACTGCTGCACAACAGCTCCGCATTCGCGCTTCACTGAATGAGGCGGCCTTGCATGACCGCCAGGTTTTCGCTAAGCGAATCAGGCCGACCTTTGCTGCCTAAGCCACCATCACGATACCCCTCGGAGGAGCTCCGCCACAATCCAGCAAAAGCAAAATCGGCCATATCATACCCAGTTCTTCGCACATCCTGCAATTAGAATGCACTTCAATTCCATTTCCAAGCCTTAATAAGCGACAGTCCGAGACAATCGCTACCTAGATATTTGACTCGACTGGGTGCTCGAGCGCGCGACACAAGACACAAGTGCAGGTTCTCAATGCGATATACAGCATACCTAGTAGCCCCAGTCACCTTCGAATGAGTCATTATGGATGCGCCGGTGCGTAGATGCCTTATCCTCTGGCGTAGAGGCTTAGCGAAGCTAACATCAGAAGGCTTGTATGGACCGTGAAGAAAGTATGAAGTCGTTCGAGATGGGGCCGATAAAAATGTATCGACATCAACCCTTGGACACATCCACCCAGCAAATCCGTCTTATTAAGCTGCGTTTGGATGAGAACAACCGACTGCAGTTCGATATCTCGGTTTTTGAATTGAGCAGCGCGCCACCTTTCGTCGCTCTTTCCTATACCTGGGGCCCACCATCACCACAGTTCAATATCTCGGTCAACGGCGAACCCCTCAGTATCAGAGAAAATTTGTTTCAATTCTTCCAAACCTATGTTATGACGACAGAGGACGATTTCCCGTGGGAGCCTACGGACAAATATGCCGATTGGACACCAGTGGGGGACGATTATGTATGGAAGCCGATGGGAGACGAGTACCTTTGGATAGACCAGATCTGTATCGACCAGACCAGCGTCAAAGAGAGAAACCATCAGGTTGGAATGATGGGATCGATCTACTCCAGGTGCCACGAGACCATCATCTGGCTTGGAAACATTCACAACAACCGAGACGTGCCGTTTGCTTTGAGAGACACCAAAGACCGACTGGTGTATTCCAGGGAAAGCGATTTGCTTTATGTGACGTCTATTACGCGAAACGATTATTTCACTCGCGTCTGGATTGTGCAGGAAATCATCTTGTCAGATAAGAAGAAGGTACTATACAACCATCCGTCCGCCGGTCCTGTCTGGGTAGATTGGAGTGATCTGTGTAGAATAGCCGGGCAATTTCAGTATCGCGTCCCTCCGATACCTGCGAGTTATCTGGTGAAATCTCATCTTCCAGATATCTGGATGACGCTTCTACACGCTGTTCGCTTGTTTAGCCAAAGTCATTGTCAGGATCCTCGCGATAAGGTTTACGGGTTCATGGGGCTCGTGGAAGAAGAACAGCGACTCACAATCAACTACGCAAGATCCTTGGAGGTACTTCTACTCGATGTGATGGCCATTTTTTACGAAGAATTTGTGACCCAGAGACGAAGAGCCATCCAAACGTACCTTCGAGTCACCCCATGGACAACTTCAAGAACGGAAGAGTTGGTGGGAGACCTGTCTCACTCTTATGCTGAGTATCAAAACGCGTTAGTGGAATTAGGGAGAAGCTGGAGTATAGTGTCCACAAGCCTGGATGCATTCTTATACGACGTCTGGGTCAAGGCGACTTACGATTGGCATCAAAAGTTTGGTAGCAAACGACCCGGACCTGACGTATACCCCTATATTCAAGCGATGGGCTATTTCCCCGAAGCCCCAAATCAAAACATGGAACTAAAGAGGAAAGAACTACTTCCCTACAGCGTGGGTGTGGAACGGGATTTAGGATATTTTGAGCCGGCCGAATGGAAACCAACAAAAGACTGCTGGTGGTATGAGGTTGACGGCACCACGTACGAGATTTATGGCTTGGTGAGCGCACAGTCTCCTGATGATGAAGCCAAAAAGCCTGGATACTATGGCAGGAAAGTAAGGAGGTCACTCAAAGGGTGGAAAAGTCGCATTCGCCGACCCGCTTGGCCAAGTCGCCGTAGCTCCATTCGAAGCGGGTGAAACCCGCCGTGCATAGATCTATGCTATTACCTTGAAACAAGAAAAGAAAGAACAGGTCTGCAGACTGCATGAATAAAAAAAGGTGCAAAGGAAGTGATCTAAAGATGATGCAGGCTCTTAAGCGTTTGTTTTCTTCCTAGGTTGGCAGGCGAAAGCACTGGAATCGGATTGACACAGGCATATTGAAATTAGGTTTATATACGACTGGTACAGCTGTGAATGTCTTTCGCGAGGGAAATAACTTCCCAGTGATATTGATAATCGGCCTTCCAGCCTCAGACATTGTTACCTGTCGCAACACCCCAGAAGTAAGCCGCCCACGAACCGACGACCAAGAACAACAGCGCGACAAACAACGACAAGCTGATCTTCCTGTTCCTCTCACCAGCAGAGCCACACTCAAACTCCTTCCTCCGCACATTGATGATCTCGCCCTTCCTAATGCGCTGGCGCCTGGTCCACTGAAGATGACCGAGATCGCTCGTCCAAAAGCAGCCGACGAACATGCTCGCAGCGACCACGACCGAGCAAGCAGATAGTACAACGTATACGATAACAACGTTATCGTAAGAGTTGTCGTCTCGATCCTGGATGACACCCGTAATGATACGAATGATGATGGACATGGCGTTATTGACGGCGATCTTGACAGCATAGCCAGAGCCGAAGACTTCTTGGTACCACATGGACGTGCGAATCGAGTCGATGATGACAGTTGGGCCAAACATGGATGCGACACCGTAGATACCGAAGGAAGCTGCGGTGCCAGAGTATGTGGGGCCCCATGTAGCCAGGCACATGGACAGGAGCATGCCCAAGCCACAGACAAGCATCAGGGTGATGCGGTTGCCCAGGATGTCTACGAAGATGCCGATGATTGGGACGAGGAAGAAGCCCAGGTACTGGGCTAGTGAGGAGTACCAGCCAGCTTTGACGGCATCCATGTCGAAGCGCTGCTCAGCGAACTCTGTCGCGTTCTGAGCGAAGACAGAGGCGGTGCTGGTCTGGAAGAGAGAGAATGCAACGATACTCCAGAAAGTCCATGGAAGCCGTAGCACCTTTCCAAACTCGAACTTCTTATTGTTCTCCGTGAGCTGTTCACCGGTCGCAGGGTCGGCCGTGCCAGTATACTTCTTGCCGCACCAGCGCGTGAAGAACCAGTACAGGAGGGTAGTAACATTAGTGAAGAGGTTCATGAAAACAGCGACCCAGTACACCCAGCTGAAGTCACCAGTGTTCTTCGCAATAACGTTTGCTGTAGCCTTTCCGACGAAAGATCCAATCTTGCCGATACCGAGTTCGAAGCCTAGGGTTGATGCGAAGCCATTAGATGGTGCGAACCAGGAGCTGAAGACTTTGTACTGCGCGACTTGCGTGGCTATGTCGCCGAATGCCTGGACGATGGATCCGAATATCATGAACTTGTATGAGCGGACGGTCGTGGCGGCGGCGATGAAGATGGCACCGATACTGTAGATGGCGTTACCCCAGAGCATGGCACCTAGAGAGGTTTCCTGTCAGCGTCGACATAGTTTGAGGGATGAGGGAGACAGACTTGCACCACCAATCCTATCGGTGACAAGACCGCTGACGAGGATCAGAGCGGTCTTCATGAAATCCTCGCTGGCTTCCAGCACGGAGTACTGCGCGTTGTTGATATGTAATTCCTTCTCAATGTCAGCTAAAGCATTCACAACTGGACGATGCAATCCATACCTTCTTGACCGTACTCTTCATCGCACCAGTAACACCACTACTCCAATGCGACCCAAACCCCGTTGCCGTAACCAAAAGAATAGCAATAAGCTTCATCTTCAGCGGAATCGCCTCGCTCTTATCGCTACCACTCCGCCCCTCAGACTCCGCATCACTACAAGCCACTACCTCCCCGGCTTTCTTCTCAGACTCAGTCGGCCTCTGGCCCTCATTGTCTACCGACCTCACAGAATCGGGTCGTGCAGCCATCGCCCTTCCTTATCGCAGTTGAAAGATGATCTGATAAAATGAGCGTTGTCCCTGCGTTAAGACGGCGCCTACGATCCCATTTTAGTACTGCCGAACGGGAAAGGAAAATCTCGACATGGCTCCGCTTCAGGGCGAAGACGGGTCCCCTTTGCGGGCCGTTTGGGCTTGGTAGCATCAAGTTGTAGGTTGGGTCCACTGTGTGAGACTGTGCGTCTTCGTATACGCCGAAGGGCTGATACCACCGGGAGATTACCGTGGTGGGCGCGATAGCGTGTGCTGTTGGGTGTTGTCTGGTCGCTTGAACATCATGTTTTCGACATGTCTACTAAGTAAGATCTTCGCAAATGTCTGAACTACAGAAGCTTTGCCGACGAGTCTTCTTAGACTGTTGTTCGCGTCTGAACTTTCCAGGAGTCGCGGGCACAATTCTGTATTCGGGAAGCACGAAGACCGGCTCACCACGCCAAGCCCAAGAAGGAAAAGTGCAGAACAGAAACTTTTATCAGATCATCTTATCAGCCCCAAGATTAGATCCAGCCCCCCGAAGAACGAACGCTACCAAATCATCGTGGGTCACCGGGAGAACGCTTATCATTCTTCTACATGAAGTCCATTTAGCTTCTAGAAAGCTGTCCCTACCCAGAATTCCAAACATGTCCGAGCACGAACAACCTCAAACCCCACACGCGGCAGCAGCGCAGGAACCTGGGAACAATTCGGCGTCGCCCTCACTCACATCCAAACACCAAATTAGCATACCCTACGTCCGTTGCGGTGAAATGCCCCCTGATCCCTCTTGAAAAATTGCTGGTCCTGTGCGACCAGGTAGATTTGCGTCTTACAACGGCCCGTTTGACTCCTTCGGACAAGCAAGTCTGTACTGTGGGTGTGCAGAAATGCTAATGAGGGTATGTGTGTTTGGTGCGTGGAATGAGTGAGGTGTTTCTGATCTAGGCTCGTGACGGTGAGGAGAAGCGTGGGATGGAGCTTTTCTGCTGTGTCTGAGCCGGTGAGAGAGGACTTTGCTTATTGCGCGCTCTTTGACGTTGTTGAGCGTCGTTCATGGCGAGGCGCAGTGTTGTGCAGTCGCTCTCTGGTGTGGTGGTTGTTGGAGGAGGTGCGCGCGACGCATAGTGGGATCACTTTACGAAAAGCTTGGCAGGCGTACCATGGAACATGGCAACCTCGTTGGGCTCGGTACACTGGATATCACGCGCACGAAAGAGAGAAACCTGATTATTGGAAATTCAGTCCAATGGATTCGCTATGAATGCCTCAAAGCCTGATAGGCTCAAGTGTGGTATACGCCTTCCAGCGCCAAACGCCTTGTCAATGCCCATCCTTCCACTGCTCATCCTCGTATCATAGAGACCTGATAGCAATGCCACTAGCACAATGCCATCGTATACCTCTGCCCCAGCTTGCGCCTCCGTCTAGTCCAAATCCTACAAGTGACGAGGCGGAAGTCCCCCATATGTCATGTGCTCAAACGGATCGCTGGCGAGAACAACCTAAACCTCGCCTCTCAGCTTCCTCTCAATCTCGTCCCTCAAGTTGACGAGATCTTGCTCTGTGGCCTCGAACTCCAATCCTTGCTTGACCCACTGCTCTGCCTCGTCCAGTCTGCCCATCTCGAGCAGACACTTGCCCCGCCTCCACCAGCCCTTGGCGTTGCCCACCTTCTTCATCTCCACACTGGCCTCTGCGTCCACTGCGCCCTCTGCCCAGTTCTTGAGTGCCATGTTTGCTTGTGCGCGGTTGCTGAGCAGCCCGGAGACCTCTTCCCTGACGAGTCCTGAAGGCTCCCATGCCGGACGTGCGAGCGCCATGTCGATTGCGAGGGTGTACAGCTTGCCCGCCTCTTCGGGCTTTCCTTTCCTGAACTCGGCGTTGCCCGACTCGCGCAGCTTGTTGATCTGGGCGGAACGCTTGGGATTGACGGGGACAGGTGGCGGCGGTGTGCCTGTGGGTGTTTCGACGTGCAGGAGGTTTCTGTGGAGGTTGTTTAGGGCGTCGAGCTCGGTCTGGAGGGCGTTGCTGGTGCTTTGGGATGCGGTGATGGTGCTGGTTTGCGGGTCCATCTCGAGAGGGAGGAGCGTGAACGTGTCTGGTGACTCCATGGTTGATGTGTGCTTGATATATGCTGGAGTGGGACGTTTATGGGGTCGTAGCGATATGTGCGTGGGTAGAGGACAGGTTGGCGCAAGTCGTGGGTTGGTGGAGGGCCATGAGGACAGTTGGATAATTCCCCGGCGCTGTTATCGATAAGCCCCAATGCGCGCTAACACGTGTCTTGTCGCTTTCATCTAACTTCACTTTATCATCACATCCGACTGCCAGCCATCACCCTCATCTCCATTAGTCTCGGGCCCTATTGATACACTGTCAAACACCATGATGCTACGACGTCAGCGCAAGGCTGCGTGGCTTCACGAGCACAATGCACCGCATTCTTCTTCTATCAACACCATGAATACGTGGGCCTTGTCTGTCTTACTGATGCTACAAACTTGACAATCTGACTAGAACTGCTTCTGTCGCATATGCCTGAATCAACTCAGTTTGTCCATGCGTCTCTCTATACCTGTGCTTTCGCACCGGCCGTTCCTGTACCTTACGGTCTGCTTCCATCCTCCAAGACAATTCACCGGGGTTCCATGTCTATCGATCCGTTTGTGTATTCGAGACATGACTTCTAACAAACATGGTCTCTTTCGTAGCCACTGTCTTTCATCTTCCAGTGGCTTGCTACAAGCGCATATGAGCACACTGACTCATTATAACTAATCCACGTCTGGCCTATCAACTTCTTCTTCCACCTTACCACAGGCTCAACATCAGCAATTTCAACTACCTGCGCACGCGTAGCATGGCGAGATACACGGTTAACGTCGCAGCTGGAGGGCGTAGAGCGAGCTTACTCGTTGTACTTTCCCCATCTCAGCTCTGCTCGGCCTTACACGACAGCGTTACCTCGCGCCTGCCAGCTCTGGGTCTCTCCGACGCGAACGGAGCTCAGATGACTCTGCACCTGAACACAGAAGATGGACCGATGCTGGATCTCGAGGATCTCTTATCTGATGTCCTACCTAACGCCGAAGAGACTGTCTACGCAGTCGTCGAGGTAAGTCCCCAGAAAATGTATCCGTAAGGCTGTCACTGACTGTAAATAAGGTGCACGAGAAGCAGCCCAGTTCGACACTTCCGTTACGACTAGCTACGTCCGACAGAACAGCAAACACTCTACGCGTTCGCGTCATCACTCCGGAGTTGGCCCAGTCCAATACTGAAGCTATACTCCCAATATCGACGCACGTGCCGACCACCTGCACTCTGCAGCAACTGAAAGGCCTCGTTCAAGAACACTTGGGTTTCCCCACTGAGGATGGCGACTGCCCTGAGCTAGAGTGCAACTGTAGCCTGGCTCGACAAATCGACGACAATGCCATTCTCAACGTCAACGGATCTGGGGACCACGACGCTCTCCATACGGTCATTCTCGTCCACTCAAACAACATTGTGACCGCCATCCCTGTCGGTGACATCACCCTTAATGCCATCCAGCAAGCAACGAAGGAATACATGGAGCATACGCAGAACCGAAGTCTGGCCAACAAGTATGTGAACGTCGTTAATGGCATTGAGGATACTAGCATCCGGACCTCGGGAGACAGGAAATTCCTCAAAGCTCCGGTCATGGCCATCTGCTCGAAGCAATGCCATTCCCATCGTCAAGGTCGAGAGGAAGATTCCGAAGATTCCAAAGATGACGAAGACCCTGCAGCCCATCGAGATCTAGTCGTCGACGTACACACATCAGAGTGTCCAATCGAGATCACCGCACATAACGCCAATATCACGATTGAGGCGGCCGGATTAGAAGATTGCGCCGTCAATGGTGTACTCAACATCTACGCCGTACAACGATGGACAATGGGCCGCAATGAGCGCGTCGATCAAGGCAAAGCTGGCATCTTCAAGGAGTCGGAAGCATGGAAGCATCATGTTGGCCAGACTGACCGTGGAATAGCCAGCATGCTGTCTACATTGCGCGTGTTCACTGAGCTCACCGCAAATGGAAGCATGGAGGACGATCGACGAGACGCCGTGCTTCATATGGTCCATCTCCTGACACAATTCCCCCCCGCTATCCGAGCTGCACATATCCTAATGCGCGGCGAGACTCCTGGACTTCCGGAACGTGCTGCGCTGGCACAATGTCTTTACGAGATCTTGAAGAATGTTGTCCCGCTGCAAACCATCCGCTCCGATCCAAAGCGGTTTTTTGAAGGATCTCGTCTGCTATTCGGTCTGATATTGGAGAAAGCCAAACAAATGAAAATCACTACTGAGGACGCCGGGCTACCGTATATTGGCATGAAGGTTTACGACCTACGAAACTTGACCACGATGCAGCCCGTACTGTCACAGCCGGTGCAGACAACATCCGGTCTTGTCGATGCGGGGTTCCACGAGGCTTTTGTCGAGCAAGGACTTCTGTGTTGGACGAATGGCGACAGCTCGAAGCGAACCTCGACAGTCGACCAAACCTGGGACCGCATTGCTAAAGTCTCTGGTGGTATCAAGACCCAAGTCTTGGTGTTCAATTCCGACGTCGTCAGGTCTAGCTCTCGCTATGCGGACGATGGTGACATCAACAAGATCATTTCGCCTGCGGAGTACGTTGATCTCACATATCTGGCCAATCTCTGCAGCCGAAACCAACTGAGCGTCACACCGCCCGCCAATCTAGCCTCTGCCTCTGCTCCTGTCTTGACTCTAGACAGAAATGGCCTTCTTGCGGTATACGTGGGTCGTGCCGGTTGTGCTGAGGCAGGGAGAGACATTCTCCTGTTTCGACCAGGTTGTGCCGAAGAAGAAGAAGCCGTGGACGTTTCGATCATTACTCAGTTGCTAGAACCGATTCTCATCCAACGGAAGGCTGACGGGACCATCGTCTTCGAGGCATATGGCGATAATCATCGCATGATGACGGCACCGGACGAAGTGACTATGATCTGCGTCGACTTGAGCGCAAGCATGAAAGACCGCTGTGGTTTCGACGACGTGCAAACAAGCGAGGATGCCGACATCGTGATCCGGCGAGCGACACCGATCACAGTAGCCGCTTCTCAAATGCCACCAGTGGAGAACGATGCTTTCGAGTTACCCGACGTCGATGCACTGAAAGAGTACATGAAGTCTCACGAATCGTACACGGATTTTCTGGCCATCATTGCCACGGGTAAGGATGACTACCACCGCCGTCAGAACGCTGAGAAGGTGCTCGAGATCCTCAAGCAATTGGACGATCAGCAATTAGAAACGAAACAGACACAACTGGAAACTTTCAGGCAGCAAGCCAGTCAATGGTATTATCGAACCGAATTCGAAATCACCGATCGCGAGATTAACGTTCTCAACAATCGCTCCCTACGCTTGCAAAAGTATAAGAGCCTGCTTTGTGCATGGCTGATTGTCTGCCTTGGTAATGCGTCAGCGTCAGACCCCTTGATGTGGAGGCCGGGCGGAGTCATACCGAAGCTGTACAAGTCTCTTCCTCCAACAGACAGCCCCACATTTGAAGTGCCGCGCGACTTTTCCTGTCCTATCAGCAACGACGTGATGCAAGACCCTGTGACTACCGTGGATGGGTTCACATACGAGAGGAAAGAGATCGAAAGATGGTAAGTGAACATGACGACTTCGGTCGCGATGTGCTCTCCAAAAGTGCATCCGAATGACTACTAACTTGGAGTTTTTGACAGGCTTCGGACCAACGAACGATCGCCGTGCACGAATTTGATCCTTCCTAGCAATGACCTACGACCCAACGTGCAGAAAAAAGAGCAAATCGATGCATATCTAAACGGTAAAGACATCTTCGAAAAGTATGCACAATCGAGAAACAGAACAAGAGCCTCTTCGCGCACCACCCGCATCGCCTTCAGATCACCAATTGAGACGCGCTCAATGGATGTCCCCCACAACCTGAAGGCGGTAGACCTATGGGAACTTGCCTTCCGTTTGACCAAAGGCCGCTACACGAGCTATGAGCTACAACATCGAAATGCTCGAGTTCAAGCTACCCAAGAACCTATTACGGACATGATCAACACAGCTCATGAGGTGTTCATCACGCCTCTAGAACCGACGGTATCAAACAAGAGCAGCGATGTCCAAGAGCTGTGTCTCGTCAAGGTCTACCATCACAGCGACTATAAGAACAGCGTGGTGTCTTACTGGTTACCCAAACAGACAACAAACTCTATAGCATCCACGGTGTTCAAATACTATCGTCAGAGATTCATGAACCGCTCATCATGCCCTGTGGGGCCGCCTTTCTTCTTCTGGACGAACTTACAGAACACTGGAGACGGTCACCACACTGGTAGCACAGAGGATCACTGGGAGCCGATATCACAGTTCTTCAACAACGACAGCTGTACCGGTAGATTGGAGGAAGAGGAAATGATAGACGACTTCCTCAATGACGATAATTCAGACGATACTGGTCATGAAGACACAGCACGGGGTAATCACCCTTTGGTGTTCAAGATAGGTCTGGGACGGCAGCCAGGCAACCGTAAATCCAGGTACCGCAACACACTGAGCCGCTTGGACGTTTTGAAACAGATGTTCGATGCATACGTAAATCGTCTGCTCGCATACAACTTCCGGACACATCTCGGTTTGGTTACTTTCAGCACCAAGTCCTCTGTTACACAGAAGATCACCCACGCCGTTGAAAACTTCCGTTACAAACTCAACAACATAACAGCTGCGGGCGATACGGCCATTTGGGACAGCATTGCTCTCGCACAGGATCAGCTGCAGGAGTACGCCAAGCAATACCCAAATGCGAAGCTGAGAATCATATGCATCTCCGACGGGGAGGACAACCGATCCACAAACAAGGCTCATAGCCTACCGACACGACTACTGCGCGATGGCATCGTAGTCGACTCGTTTTGCTTGGGTGCCGGTGTCAACAATGCCGATCTCAAGAGAATTTCGTTCCTGACTGGCGGATACGTCTTCCAGCCAAAGACTCTGGAAGCAGCTATGGCGATCTGTGAGATGGAACCCGTACTTTCCTTGTCAGAGCGCCCAGATAGATCCCACAAAGGTTCTATCTTTCGTCGCGCTTATCTCGCAGCCCCCGATATTTCCAACTTCCGTGGCGCTGACCTCATGGGTAAGGTTGAGCAGGTCAGCCGCGACGAGTTTCCAGATCGCAAGCAGCATCCACAGCTCGCAGAGTCGTTCGTGGAGCTGGGCCTCTTTAACCGAAGTTCGTCCGTCAGTCGTACCGACAACAATGTGCGTTTGAGCAGGATACATAACGAGATTCGTAACTCAGGCGCCAAGCCGCATCCGCACTACGATGTCTTCATCTGCGAATCGAACATGGGGCTTTGGAAGATTGTCATGCAAGGTAGGTCGACTGTTATTCCATTCCCCAAGAGACCATCTCCTATCTGCATCTGCATTCGTACTGACTTCAATAGGACCGCCCGATAGTACATACTCCGGTGGTACTTTCCTCCTTTACTTGGAGATGGGCGACAAATACCCGATGTCGCCACCAGAAGCACGCTTCATCACGCCCATCTACCATCCAAATATCAACCGCCATGGACGTATCTGCCATTCGATTCTAGACCGCAACTGGACACTAGATACTTCTACCAAAGACGTAATCGATACCATCTACTCACTTCTGCTCGTGCCGGAGTTCAGCGACCCTATCAACACCGTCGTCACTCTCAACTATCACTGGGACGAGGTGCAGTTCAAGGAGGAGGCGCAGCGCCACATCGAGAAGCATGCAAGCAAGAGCAGGGCTACTTGGCGTAGCGATATTGTCGGCTAAGGCTGAAAGGTGGCGGAGACGTTAGCGGAACAACAGAGGATATGTCTGGGGATGGAGAAGGAAAAATTGTCGAGCGCATGTAGCAACTGAGATTTGTTGCAGTGTAGCTATAAAATCAAGAACGACATAGTTCATCGTTCACCTCTAAGTTGTCAAGATGCTGATGACTGTGTTCGTGTCACATTGACATCGCTGAATGAGCAGCCAGCCCCGAGCCTACATTCTGCTTCCAACATTGCATTTACCGACTCACCGTTCAAGCTTCTGTGTTGTTTATCGCATGGATACGGAAGCTGACACTTTAGCAATATGACACCGTCGCTTGGTTGGGTATGCAGCACGATATGCAGCGTTATAACCGGACGAATCAGCATCGATATCTTCGTCCAGCCACTGTCGCCAGGAGAGCGGGAGCTAGGGAATTTATGCATCACATGTTACGCGAACGAATCTTCTTTCACCATCTTGTTCGAAAAAGGGAAGCAGACTTGTCTAAAGCCTTCATCGACCCAGGTAAGCTGATCGCCTTGCATTGATTGCGCTCTGTGCCTGCATATCCGGCGATATTGGCAGGTCAACAACAATCGGTCAACTTCAACAGGAAGAGAGATAGTACTTGAGCGCGGCTTTCGCCGTTGATACAAGCTGAATACCCCTTGGCTCAATTCCACTTTCGCATCGTCCATCATGGCTCCCCTTCGCTCAATCATTGCGGCTGTAGCTCTTTGTGCGACGGCGGTCGCCGCAACGTCAATCGACAACCAAACCTATGAGTACATCGTCGTAGGCTCTGGACCTGGCGGCGGACCGCTTGCATCCAATCTCGCTAGAGCCGGTCACTCCGTGTTACTTCTTGAAGCCGGGGATGACCAGACGGAAAACCTCAATGTATCAAACTGGCTGAACTTCAACCTGGCCGGCAACGATCCCGCCACGGTAAGTAAAGATGAGATCGTGATAGGGTATGACTAAGAGTTTGAATAGCGCTGGGACTTCTTCGTGAAGCATTCCGATGACGATGCTAGGGAAGCGAGGTATTTGCATCGAACGTGGCGTAAACCAGATGGAGGGTTCTACGTCGGCATCGAGCCGCCTCAGGACTCCGAAGCTCTTGGAATCGTGAGAATGGGTCCATTCAATAGACCAGAGCAGGTACTGACCCTGATCTCAGTATTATCCGCGTGCAGGCACTTTGGGTGGCTGTGCGATGCACAACGGCTGCTTGACCATGAACCCCAACAATGCAGACTGGGACGAAATCGCGCAAATGACCGGAGATGACTCATGGTCGCATGAGAATATGAGGAAGTATCTCATCAAGCTCGAAAAGGTGCACTACAACAGCACATACGAGCATGGCCATGACGGCTGGCTCGACATGACCATGCTAGACCCAGGCTACACTACCAGTGCGGATGCCAAACAACTCAGTGAACTCGCTGCAGAGGCCGCCGGCTACTATGCCTCTTCCGCTTCGACGTTGCTGCAGCGCGATATGAATGGTGCGCAGCCAGATCGCGACCAGCTCGTTGGACCTTTCGGCGGTGTCAGTCATATCAACCCCAATGGACGCCGGTCGTCTCCGGGGTACTACGCCAGAGATACTGCAGCTTCTGGCAAATATCCGCTGACTATCTCGCTGGATACTCTTGCCACGAAGATAATCTTCGACAAGGTCTCCCCAGGACCACCTAGAGCAATCGGTATTGAGTATCTGCAGGGCAAGAGCTTGTACAGTGCTGATCCCCGTTCCAATCCCGATGACAAGGGTGTCGCAGGCAAAGTTTTCGCATCTAAAGAGGTCATTATCTCTGGCGGCGCATTCAACTCACCACAACTGCTTATGCTTTCTGGGATTGGCCCGCTTGATCAACTCACGAAGTTCAATATCTCGCCCGTGGTAGAGTTGCCGGGTGTGGGTAGACAGATGGCCGATAACTATGAGGCTGGTATATTGTCGCTCGGAAACCGTGCCGTTACTGGTATGTCAGAGATCTTCCCCAACTTCTGGAAGACGTCCACTTCGCAACTCGGCATCCGCGACATTTACATGTGGTGTGGTTCTTTCGCGTTCGAAGGCTTCTGGCCAGGGTAAGCATCCACATCCTTCTCTACACATGCGCTAACGATGCCGACAGCTTTCCCAATCGCCCTCCGTACTTCAACGAGACCTACGGCCCATCACAATACGAGTGCGCAATGGTCCACATGAATCCGCGTTCGCAAGCCGGCACGGTAGAACTCCGATCCGCTAATCCGCGCGACATGCCAGCCATCAACCTCAACTTCTTCAAAGACGGCGCAGAGGAAGATCTCCAAGCCATCTACGAAGGTGTCGAGTGGGTACGTTCCTGGCTGTCAAAAGTGGACCCGTCTGCACCTGATTCGCTGGCACCCTTCGAAGAGCTCCATCCTTGCGAAGGTACCATTGGGAAGCAGAACTGTACGGTCGAGAGTCAGAAGACGTATATCAAGGAGCAGGCGTATAGTCATCACGCTAGTAGCAGCTGTAGGATTGGTGCCGATGGAGATAAGTTCGCGGTACTAGATAGTAAATTCAGAGTAAGGGGAACGAGGGGCCTGCGAGTCGTAGATGCAAGCGCCTTTCCGAAGGTACCTGGGGGGTTTCCTATTTTGCCTACTATGATGATTAGCGAGAAGGCTACTGAGGATATACTCTCTGGGTTGTAAGGTCGCGTACATACTTAACTCGCCTGCGCATTCAAGACAATTAGTAAATTGTTCGCAGACGATTTCAACTATACGTGCTTTGCTTTGGGTCTGCTCGTCAGTGGAAAGTCTGCGGCCAGCATAGACAACATTGTTCAGTCTGCTCAACTGCGACCCCATGTAGTGTCCAAGTCTAGAGATCGCGATCTCGGAGTTCGTAGCCCGCACAGTCGGACCTTCATGTCCGACCCAGCACGCGACCGCCGTACCTGCCCATCCAGCGTCCTGTCGCGTGGACCTACTGCATCGGGATTTTGCGACAACACTCAGAGTTTCGATGGATAGAAGACGAAAGACCAAGGCAGCGTCCAAAGACGGTAGCTGTCATACACGCGGTGCATCGTGCCCAGAGGGCAACGTGCGTGGAGAAGTGGGGCAGGCTAACCAAGAGAGGCGCGATAGTCCCGCGGCCTCTTCTTATCGTGTTGATAACAACGTTCAAGACTCTGAGTTGACAGATGGGAATAATACAATGCGTTAATGGCTTGACTGATTCGCCAATAGGCCGTGATTCGATTTGAAGAAAGATATTCGAGATCGCGCTGCGATGCCGTTAGATCGTTGATCTGCCTCCAGTATATAAGACCCCGCTGGACCCTGACAGCTTTGAGCGATCAACCTTATCCGACCACCGTCACATCACATTCATCCATACTATGGCGCTCGATCGATTGAAGCAAGCAGCCTCGCACATTACGGGCGTTGGAGAGCCTCCACACCCATTCGACCCTTTGAGCGAATCCGAAATTGAACGCGCAGTCGCTATCATCCGAAAAGAGCACAGCGATGTGTTCTTCAACGCGATCACCTTGTTGGAGCCGCGGAAAGCAGAGATGATGAGCTGGCTGAAAGATCCCGAGCATACACCACGACCACATCGAGTTGCTGATGTAGTTTGCATCGGCCGAGGCAGCAAAGTGTACGATGGACATGCAGATTTGACCGAAGGCAAGATCATTAGCTGGGCGCTGACTGATGATGTTCAGCCACTTGTACGTTAGAGAGTGTGTGAGTGCGAATTACATCCTGCTGACTTGGATCTAGATCACAATGGAAGACCTCCAGATTGTGGAGACGATTGTGCGGAAAGATCCAAAGGTCATCGAACAATGCGGCCTGATTGGCATTCCACCAGAAGACATGCACAAAGTTTACTGCGATCCCTGGACGATTGGTTACGACGAGCGATTCGGCACCAAAGTTCGTCTTCAGCAAGCGCTCATGTACTACCGCCCACACCCCGATGACTGTCAATACACGTACCCATTGGATTTCTGCCCGATATACAACTCGGATACTCAGGAGATCATTCATATCGACGTCCCACCTGTTCGGCGACCGCTGAACCAGGCCCCACCGAACAACTATCACGCAGCTGCTATCGAGGCTGAAGGTGGTTTCAAGACAGATTTGAAGCCCATCAACATCACACAGCCAGAAGGCGTCTCATTCAAGTTGGACGGACGATACATCAGCTGGGCAAACTGGAAGTTTCACATTGGCTTCAACTACCGCGAAGGCTTGGTTCTGTCTAACATCACGTTTGACGACAAGGGCACCGTTCGCGATACGTTCTGGCGCCTATCGCTCGCGGAGATGGTTGTACCTTACGGCAACCCAGAACACCCACATCAGCGTAAGCACGCTTTCGATCTGGGAGAATACGGCGGTGGCTACATGACCAACTCACTTAGCCTAGGCTGTGACTGCAAGGGCGCAATTCACTACATGGACGCTGCCTTTGTCAACCGCGCCGGCCAGGCTACAACGATCAAGAATGCTATCTGCATCCACGAGGAAGACGCCGGTATCCTATTCAAGCACACAGACTTCCGCGACGACAGTGTTACGGTCACTCGTGCTCGCAAACTCATCATCTCTCAAATCTTCACAGCCGCGAACTACGAGTACTGCGTATACTGGATATTCCACCTTGACGGAACGATCCAGCTGGAGATTAAACTTACGGGAATCTTGAACACCTATGCGATGCTTCCCAGCGAGGATTTGAAGGGCTGGGGCACTGAGGTATACCCCGGAGTGAACGCGCACAACCATCAGCATCTCTTCTGTATGCGCATTGATCCAAACATTGATGGACCGGAGAACACCGTTTTCATGGTCGACGCGATGCGTGGAGAAGGCGAAGTTGGCAGCGCAGAGAACAAGTACGGCAACGCTTTTTACGCGAAGAAGACGAAGCTCAGCACTCCTGAGCAGGCGGCAACGGACTACAATGGCGGAACGAGCAGAACATGGGAGATGGCCAATACGAACAAGCTCAACCCATACAGCAAGAAGCCAGCTTCCTACAAGCTGGTCAGCAGAGAAGTGCCTGATCTACTACCCAAGCCTGGAAGTTTGGTGTGGAAGCGAGCCGGTTTCGCAAGGCATGCGGTGCATGTCACGAAGTGTAAATATCTCCAAATGATTATATACGGAGCCCTTGACTAACTTATCATAGACGACGACACACAACTCCACCCAGCAGGCCGTCACGTTCCGCAAACATCTGGCGAGCCGTCCCAAGGCATACCCGCCTGGATCGAAGCCAACCCCAACGAGAACCTCGACAACACCGATGTCGTCCTGTGGCACACATTCGGTATCACGCATTTCCCATCGCCGGAAGACTTCCCGATTATGCCTGCTGAGCCCATGACGCTACTGCTGCGACCGCGCAACTTCTTCACACGTAATCCTTGTATGGATATCCCGCCTAGCTATTGCAGTGTTCCGAGTGGTGTTAAGCAGGGAAGTACGCTTGTGGATAAGTTGAGTCGTATGGCGTTTGGTGAGGAGAAGAAGCCTGAGAGCGCGGCGGATGCGACTTGTTGCTCGGATCAGAAGTTTGGTGCGGGCGTATGATAGAGATGCGGCATGTATGTTTAGTGTGTTCATAATGGAGAGTTCTCTTCAGTGAAGTGATCGTCACAACTACCTCCGTAAAGTGTGAATGTGCCGCCCAGGCAGACCATCGCGACATGCTGCATTGCTCACAGTGTCGGCCACGTGCGGTGACGTAGTCCCACGCGAGCTGTTCGCGGGTAGTAGCTCCGCGGGTGGGCCCAAGCTTCCACCGAGTCCGCATCCGACATCTTCTCCCCTCCACGATCGCCCGCGCAGATTCCAGCCACGCACAGCAGCCGCGATGATATAGCACCGATATCGCAACTTTCCCAGCACCATCTTCGTCCCACCAAGCCTGAGGATGTTCCTGCCGATTTGGACGGCCCACCATCCGAACCCGCAATGCCCCGCGCATTCCCACCCGTAGAGCAAAATGATAAAACGAAACGAGCAAACGTGCCCAGGAGCGCCCTATCAGCGTCTCTGGTTGAGAGCGTAGCTGGCTTCAGCGCTGGCGTCGTGTCTTGTCTCGCTGCCCATCCACTCGATCTGCTGAAGAACCGCCTGCAACTCAACACCACAAGTCGATCGCGACCTGGCGACTCATACCGCATCCTACGCAACGTAATCCGAGATGAAGGAGGCGTACGCGCACTATACAGGGGACTATGGCCGAACCTTCTCGGTAACAGTCTGGGCTGGGGTCTATACTTCCTGTTCTATGGAAACCTGAAAGAATTGTTCCAAAGTAGGAGGCAGAAGGGCGAGCATCTGGGAAGTGCCGAGTTCTTCTCCGCGAGCATCATCGCTGGTATGTTTGGAGATACGGAACTCCTATGGGCATCGCTAACAACTTGCTAGGTCTCCTCACCGGTGCCTGCACGAACCCAATCTGGGTCGTGAAAACGCGCATGCTCGAGCGCGGCGCGAACCATCCTGCCGCATACAAGTCCATGAAAATTGGCCTCCAGCACGTATACGAAACCCGAGGATTGAAGGGCCTTTGGGCAGGCTTTCTGCCCTCGTCGCTGGGTGTACTACACGGTGCAGTACAGTTCAGCATATACGAGAACATGAAGAAGAGAAGGGGGACACATATTGGTGGGCAAGATAAGCTGAGCAATTGGGAATATGTGTATATGAGCGGTGGAAGCAAGCTGCTTGCTGGAGCAATCACGTACCCGTACCAACCTATACGCGCGCGGTTGCAGCAATACAACGCTGCACAGCAGTACAGCGGTCTGCTAGATGTGCTCAGGAAGACGTACCAGAACGAAGGGTTCCTGGCGTTTTACAAGGGGTAAGCAAGCCCCTGCGCTATACACACCAGTGGAAAACAAGGCTAACCTTCGCAGTGTTATACCCAACACGCTACGAGTCATCCCAACAACAGTCGTCACGTTCCTAGTATACGAGAATACGAAACTATATCTACCAAAGATGTTTGCGGATGACGAGCAACTAAGTCATGACGAAGACTAGACACGAGAATATACGCACCCAGCTACCATACCGACCCGCGCTTTACTACACGATATTTACCGATATGAAGACAGACGTAGACGAATCAATATCACACTGTTAACGACTTCCATGCGAGATATATGAAGAAGCACCTCGACATACTCCGAAGTGAAGGCAGCCACTGTTGAGACGAATAAACTGCGGCCGATGAAACATCAGTTGTCCGTCCTTCTCTGTTGCGAGAAATCGAGCTCAGCATTTCGACTAGGGCTGCTCGGTGCTCAGACTACACTGATATCGGGCAGCTGGGGATTGACATTGCGCAGAAATTGGGTTGCGCCGTGATAGCAATCCCTACTATCAGGAGCCACTCACCTGCAGCCTCTGGAGTGAATCCGTGTGTAGTTGCCACTTTCCACAGTCTACCTGGCTCGATATGAGCGATTCAATCAGTCTCTCTTAGGCTGCATGCGATGAATCACTTTTACACGTCAATCACAACCATTGAAAAAGCTTACCTTGAGGTAGTGAATCTCGAATCACTTAACATCGAGTAATGAGTTGCCGGTGCTTCACCGCGACCGTCGTAACCATAATTCAACCAGCACGCGGCCTCAACCAGTCTACACTGTTTCCGCATCGAAGTC